ATATCAGTATATTTTACAGCAAAGTATGTTTCCAGGGATAAACAAGGTTATTTCCAACATGACAGAATAGTTAATCCATCTAGAGGACACAATAATCCTAACTATTATGCACATAATAACAGGGCTTCAAAATATGTGAAGCAAAAATGGAAAGAAAAGTAAATAGACAAATTCACAATTATAGCTAGAGATTTTGAGACTCCTTTCGATAACTGATAAAACAAATAGTCAGAAAATCAGTAAAAACATAGAAGATTTGAACAACACTGTTAACCAATTTGACCTAAGCTGATATTTACAGAACACTCAACAATACAGAATACTCTTCTCATTCTTTTTGGGTGCATATGGAACACTTATCAAGATAAACATATCCCAAGCTTAAACATGTCTCAATAAATTTAAAATATTAAAGTCATACGAAGTAATTAAATTAGAAAACAGAAAAATCTCCAGAAAAGCTCCAAAAAGCTAGAAATTAAAAAATGCATTTCTAAGTAACCCAGGATACAAAAGGGAAATTAGAAAGTATTTTGAACAGAATAGAAATGAAAACATAACATGTTAGAATTTGAGAGACAGAACTGAAAACAGTACACAGGGAAACTTTATAGTATTAAGTGCTTATGCTAGGAAAAAAAAAATCAGTGGGCTCAGTTTCCACATTAACAAACTAGAAAAAGAAGGGAAAATTAAATGAAAAATAGAATAAAAGAAATAATAAAGATCAGAAAAGATATTAGTGAAGTAGAACACATGAAAAATAAAAAAAAAATACATAGAAAATAAAATAAACCAAATGCTAGTTCTTTGGGAAAAAATCAATAAATTGATAAACCTCTAGATAGACTGAAGAGAATAAAAAATCAAAAACTACAAATTGCCACTACCAGGAATGAGATATCCTAAAGATATTACAAGTACAATAAGGGAAGATTATGAATAAATTCATGCCAATAAATTTGACAACTTAGATGAAATGGACACATTCCCTGAAGGACACACATTACCAAGAACAAATAAGTAGCCTGAATAGCCCTATAGGTTTTAAAGACATTAGATTTGTAGTTAAAACTTGTCTATAAAGAAAACAATAGGCCCAGATGGCTTCACTGGTGAATTCTACCAAATGTTTGAAGAAAAAATGCCAATCCCACACAAGCTCTTCTGGAAAAGAGAAGAGGAGGGCATTCTTTCCAACTCATTCTATGAAAATCAGACAAAGACATCACAACGCAGGGGTAGCTTATTCTTTAAAATTAATCAGTATAGGGGCGCCTGGGTGGCTCAGTCATTAAGCGTCTGCCTTTAGCTCAGGTCATAATCCCAGGGTCCTGGGATCAAGCCCCACATCGGGCTCCTTGCTCAGCAGGAAGCCTGCTTCTCCCTCTGCCACTCCCGCTGCTTGTGTTCCCTCTCTTGCTCTATCTCTCTCTGTCAAATAAATAAATAAAATCTTAAAAAATAAATAAAATTAATAAAATTAATCAGTATAATACACCGTATCAACAAATGGAAGTGAAAACGGGAAAAAAAAATATGATCTTAACACAGTTAGTGAAAGCATTTGATAAAAACTCTCATCAAAATAGTAATAGAAGGGAACTTCCTCAACATGATAAAAAGCATCTATGAAAAAACATCTACAGCTAACATACTTTATTGTGAAATATTTAATACTCTTCTCTTAAGCTTAAGAGGAATACTTGGATGTATGCTTTTACCAGTCCTATCTAACACTGCATGGAAAGTTCTAGTCGGTGCAATAAGGTAAGAAGAAAAAAAAACAAAACCATACAGATTGGAAAAGAAGAAGTAAAAGTGTCTTTATTTGCAGACAATATGATCATCTGAAATAATCGATAAAAAAATCTGTTAGAATCTACAAGAAACTACTAGAAATGAATTTAACAAGGGTACTAAATACAAGATCAAAATGCAAAAATCAAACACATACTAGTAAACAAACAATGGGAAATAGAAAACATTTTTTGAATGCCATTTGCAACAGCATCAAAACCATGAAATACTTTGGGATACATTTGATAAAAGGTATGTAAGACTGTATGCTGAAAACTATAAAATGTTGTGTAGAGATACTAAAGAAGAGGAAAAAAAAGGAAAGATATTTTATGTTCTTTGTTTTCGTGGATTGGAAGACTCAATGTTGTTAATGTCAATTCTCCCCCAGTTGATCAATAGATTCAATGCAATTTCCATCAAAATTCCAGCAGGCTTTTAAATAGACCCTTTATTTTTAATTACATTGTGTTCTCTTTAAACTGTCTTTCCTTCAGTTGGAATGGTTTCTAGCAAAGATTAAACTGAGATGGTAGACGTGGTAGAGAAAAGGAATCATTCTTTTTTTTATAGACTGAAAAACGCAGTAACAGAGAAAACTTAACTGTTCTCGCCAGGCATGGGGCGGGGGCCGGGGAGGGGGTAGTTTCCACAGCAACTTTCACAGCTGAAAGACTCTTCATCATAATGATAGCACTACTGGTGTTTTAGCATTTTAGATGTTTTGTGCTGTACTTACTTGTCTAGTATTATATAGATATTGAAATATGATGGAACAAAAATCATCTTCTTATTGGTAAGTATTCCATCTATCAAGCTTCTTGCAACTGCATCTGTTTCCAAAAGAGGCCATAGTCTGTGATTAAGAAGAAAAAAGTTTGGTTCTTTTTGTTGTTGTTGTTTTAATTATCAAAGGCAGGAAAATTACCTTATCCTGTCACCAAATTAGGATTTAAAAGGTTCCAGGATTCACTGAACAAATGTCACCTGCTCCCACCCACCCCACACGTGCCATGGGGATGTTTTGTTCTCACAATCTTAAACTTTCACACCCAGTGGGCATGTTTCATGGCTCACTCAGTTAAAATATCAGAAGGGTGGAGGGGCGCCTGGCTGGCTCAGTTGGTTAAGCATCTGATTCTTGGTTTCTGCTCAGGTCATGATCTCAGGGTCCTGGGACGGAGCCCCAAGATGGGTTCTGTGGGGAGCCTGTTTGAGGATTCTCTCTCTCCCTCTTCCTCTGCCCTCCTCATGTTCATGCTCTCTCTCTCTCTCCCTCTCAAATAAATAAATACATCTTTAAAAATTATATCAGGGGCGCCTGGGTGGCTCAGTCGCAGCGTCTGCCTTCGGCTCAGGTCATGATCCCAGGGTCCTGGGATCGAGCCCCACGTCGGGCTCCCTGCTCAGCGGGAAGCCTGCTTCTCCCTCTCCCACTCCTCCTGCTTGTGTTCCCTCTCTCGCTGTGTCTCTCTCTGTCAAATAAATAAATAAAATCTTCAAATAAAGTTAAAAAAATAAAAAAATATATCAAAAGGGTAGAGAGGAATTGGAGATATAGGTGAAGAGGCTCCAGGCAAGGAAGAGTAGCAGGTGGGATTATTCATGGACAGAAAGGGAACATCTGACATCTTTCTTCAGGGCTCGTGGGATACAAAGCTATTGCCAAGCATACTTTCTTTCTTCTGGAGTTATCCCATAAAGCTGGATTGTTGTTGTTGTTGTTGTTGTTGTTGTTTTTGAAGATTTTATTCATTTGTCAGAGAGAGAGAGCAAGCATGCACAAGCAGGGGGAGCCGCAGGCTGAGCAGGCAGAGGGAGAAGCAGGCTTCCCGCTGAGAGGGAAGCCCCCAGGGAGCCCGACTCGGGGCTTGATCCCAGGACCCTTGGATCATGACCTGAACCGAAGGCAGATGCTTAACGACTGAGCCACCCAGGTGTCCCAAAGCTGGATTGTTTTGAAGGCATTTAATTCCTGAGGTCCATCTCTGGATTGCCTATGCTACAATTGAATGAGAGTTCAAGATATGCACAGGGAGTATCGCATTCTGGAGGTGTGACCTTGCATATACTGAAGACTACACAGTCTTGAGAAGCATTTATAACCACAGGCTCAGTATAGAATTACCACTAGTGCAAGATGATGACAAGAAATTAAAATGTAAATGGATTGAAAATGTTACATCAAAACTAGGAAGTCTGGGCACGGGTTGAATGGAAAAAGGTTGCATAGAAGAGCTGAGTTATAACTTCCTTCCCTGACACGTTCTGTGATTTACTACAGATTATTATGTGATTGAGGTTTCCATGGCATTGAGTAGCAAGCCAGCAGAGAGTAATAGAAATCAATACCTTTCTAAATTATTGGGTTCTGCCTCTTCCCTCCCTGATTTTTCCTACCTGGTTTCTTCAACCCAGTATCTGAGCCAAGCCTAACATTAGTGTATGAATATTTTAGCCTTTGCCAATGGGATTCAGAATCCAGCAGTGTGGGTCAATCTTCAGCTTTGCCTGTCAGCCCCTAGAGTCACTCCCAGGCATCCACATTACCTGGAATCACACTAGACTTACTCTTCTCATCTCTTGTGTCTTCCCCACCCAGCGGACCTGGTACACTTGGCCCACACTAAGCCTGAATGCTTACCAAGAAGGTTTTTTAGGCCCAATTTGCTGTTTAAGAAAACTGAGTCCAGAGTCCCAATCATACCACAGTATTTACTTAAATATCATGTACTTGTTAAGTGCCTATGGTCTAGCACTATTAAAAACTCCACTGCCAGGGAGTGACCACAGCTCCAGAGACCACATAGCTAAATCAGAGTTCAGAGTCAGTAGCTTCAAATGAGGCTAAGTTTAAAGGAGAATTTGTTAGCTCTTTTGAATGAATATATTTGGACTAATTCCCCTTTAGTAATAAATTGGCTTCAGATGAGCAAGCTTAGTGTATTTTGTTAACCTGCAGCAGAATATATATACCCGAATCGAGGCAAACTGGGGAAGGTGTCTGAATTTTAGGGCCCATCTCCTCATTTCTGCTTTGTTTCCTCTCCTTTCAGGATCAGTTTCTCCTCTCTTACGGTTTCAAATCCTCCCTTACCAGAGACAAAGTTCTCATAGAAATTCATCTTGATTAAAGGGTTAGGGGCTCAGTTTATTGCTGCTCCTAAAAGCATCTGCGTATTTATGGAGGACAAGGAGGTAATGGTGATCACATGCTGGGATTATATTTAATACATCAGTGTTTTCCAAACCTGTCTCCACACTTACCTGGCAGGTATGCTCGTAAAGCAAAGCAAAGCAAAGCAAAGCAAAGCAAAACAGAACATCTCATTCTTGGAGCTCATCTCAGTCTACTCAATAAGAATCTCTAAGGAAGACCCATAGAGTGTTTATTTTCTATGGAAGCACAGGTGATGATTCTTAGGACCAGACAAGTTTGAAAAATGTTGGAGCACTTCCTGCTAGCACCATGGAAGATGGAAAAGGGGTGTATACTTGTACCTTTCCATACTCTGAGGAGGATGAACCATGAACGTGCGGGGGATGGTACATAACATTCATTTTTGGGGTGGGGTTCCTAGGAGAGGACACTCTTGACATCCCTGAGCGCACCTCTCCAGCCTGTCCCACCCCCTCTCATTCCCTCTTGGCACCTGAGTGTGTTGAACCTTTCACCTGGACACAGATAAACACCCAATTGCCTAACTCGTTGGCAGTTGGTCACTCCTGCCAGTCATCAATGCATTTCCCCCCTTTATTTATCTAATTTCAAAGTGAAAACTTAAAGGCAGTACAACATTAAGACGAAACATTTTTCCTTTTTCGTTTTTTTCCTATTTTCTCAGTTGATCCACCTAAACATTTCTTGTACAGATTTCATATCAATTTCTCATGCCGTATTTTCATCCTAACTTGACTTTGACCTCACCTTGTGCTTGGGTTTTTGGTGAACCCAGTATTCACAAAAACTGGGCAGAGACATGAGGTTTTGATTCCGGTTTTCCCCAAGGTTTCAAGTTCTAATGTCAGAGCTCTGTGGAAGCCGACAGCAGCAAATTTGCTGGAACTGTAAGAGAATTACCACCATCATTGCTAGATTTCTGTAAGAAAGCAATGCCGGTTTGGTTTGAGAACAAGTAGAAGCCAATGTCCCAAATCTTCCACTTGGTCATCAATTTTCATTTACATTTTCTTACATGATTTTACAGAATTCTGAACGTACCGATTTCTTACTTAGCAATGATAGCAATAGAACGAATCCTAGTAATATATTACCTGGCTTACTGTTCACTTTTCCACCCTAGTGTAAGGTTTTCCATTCAATCTTCAAACTGTTTTCTGATTAGTTTTAATTGCTATTTTTATTTTTAAAAATATGAAACAGGTAAAACATATGTAGAAAAACTATGTAATAATATCTACACTGAAACTTCTGTGGGACTCTCCACATTTCTCTTCTCTTTCTTATTGAGTTCCTAGTTTCTCTCTTTATCCTGGAGGCCTCTTTGACTTCTTAATTTCATTGTCAAAATCTGGAGTAAAAAGACTTTAGGTGGTATGGGTGTGCCTTTAGCATATCACTTTATCTTTGATTTTCTCATTTTTAAATGCAGGTTATAAAATATAGGGCTGTCTTGAGAATTAGATTGTATAGCATATGCCTTATAACTTCATTACCTATAAGAATCTATATAAATGTTCATTGTATTTTTGACCCAGGTGACAATAAAAACAGTAAAATTAAAGGCCAGCTGCTTTCTTAAGGAAGAAGCAAAAAAGGAAAAGTATTACATTGGGTTTCCACATTTCTAAACATTAAAACAATAGCAAATGTTTAATCTGTGAAATTCTTACTTGTGTTTTAAGAGGGTAGAGGCCGTTTGAAACAACCATGTGTGTGCAATGACCCCTAACTGACACTGAAATTTAACTATAGTGACCACATTCAGCGTCAGAAGTAATTTTGTCCATGACTCAGTTTAACCTTGAACATTATGTACAGGCACATAATAAATCTATTAATTACCCACACGCACACCTTCCCACTGATACTCATGTGTTGGCTGTTACAAAAGGAACTGGACCAGATGTTAGCAAGTTAAATTTTCTATGAGACTGATATGAAGCCGAAGTAAGCAAATGAGATGCCATTGGAGTTTACAAGGAAGAGAGATTTTGCAAAGAGCGCATCCTCAGGGCTCCCAACCTTTTCTCTTTGTGTCCTTGGTAGATCATGGAGTGTACTATCTATATCTTTTAATTAGCTAGAGGCTTTCTCTCAATCTCTCTCTCTCTCAACACACACTATCTTTCATGGCATGAGCACAGTGGATAATGTTTTGGTCCAGGGCTCACTCCGGTTAGCTAATCTTGGGTACGCAGGTGATGCACACGTTTATGTTCATTTGGACTTCTGTATGTTTTACTTCTTAGTCTGTGGTTCCCTGTTTCTTTTATCAACATGTACTCATTCCAGGATACAATGGAAACATACTTGGCATTACATTTCATTGCTCTATAGAGGAGCTTTCAGAAATCTAAAAATATTTTAACAATTACAACCAGTTTCATTGTTTTAGGAGAAGTCATTTTATAAAAGTTTATTCTAGACTACTATGTCAATTCTGTAAGTAACCCTGCTATGAGGATTGGAATCTAAGGTCTAATAAACCCTTGAAAGAATATATATATATACACACAAACACATACACACATATATATGTATATATATAGTTATATAGTTATATTATTGCTGGAAAATAATACTTACCAATATGGAATAAGATAAGGAATCACTCCATGGCCACACACTGAAGCCACTGTGACAATGTGGCCATGATTTCTCTTCATCATGGACGGAAGAAGTGCTTTTGTGATCTTAAAGATCATTGCAGGAAGAAAAAAAAATGGCACAGGTGTTAGGTTTCTAAATTAGGTAGTTCTCTTTTGAAGAAAAGAATAGCATTTGAGACAACTTTTAAGATGAAATGAAACACGTGTCAGTATTCCATGATTACTTCCATATAAATGACAGAAATGAAAAAGATTGAAATGTATTTGCTTAAGGTGGCATTGAGGGCTGTGTACTAAATATCACATGCCAAGAACTCGTCTTAATATTTCCCATTCCTTCCTGGGGCGCCTGGGTGGCTTGGTCAGTTCAGTGTCCGACTCTTGATTTTGGCTCAGGTCAAGATCTCAGGGTCATGAGACTAAGCCCCGTGGTGGGTTCTGCGCTTAGTGCAGAGTCTGCTTGAGATTCTTTCTCTTCCTCACCCCCTGCTCATGTGCTCTTGTGCTCTCTCTCTCCCTCTCTCTAAATAAATAAGTTAATTAATTTAAAAATCTTTTTTTAAAGATTTTATTTATTTATTTGAGAGAGAGAGCATGAGCAGGCTGAGGGACAGAGGGAGAAGCAGACTCCCCGCTGAGCAGGGAGCCCAACATGGGGCTCAAACCCGGGACCTTAGGATCATGACCGGAGCTAAAGGCAGACACTTAACCAACTGAGCCACCCAGGTGCCCCAATAATTAAATCTTAAAAAAAAAATTCCCCCATCTTCCCTTCAGAAGGAATCAAATATCTCCTTTATGGATATATCATCTGAATAATATCAAGGGAAAAATTCAGTGTTTTCAGAACGGAAAAGATCCGCTATGGTAATCTGGTATCATGTAATTTTCTTTGGTTTGGGGCTTTATCATTCTAATGAGAAGAATTGAAATCTTGTGTAACTATATCAAGTTAGGTAGAAAAAGCTGAGTTTTGTCCTATCCACAATCATTATCCATCATGATTAGATTTAGTGTCTCCCTATTTGTAACACTGTGTATTATATATTGATGTTACAGGAAACAAAAAGTCATTCTTTATCTCCAAAAAGCTTTCACTGTTTTGAGAGAAATATCAATATTTTATGAGAATTTTATGAACACACGCTATGGACCCTATACAAATCCACAGAGCCAAAACTGCCAAACTAAGCCACTCCTAAATTTCTGACTCACAGAAACTCTGAAAGGAAAACACACACTTATTGTTGCTTTCAGCTATTAAATTTTGATATAATTTGTTATGCAGCTATAGATAACCAACACACGAGGTCTCTATGTAGTTTGGTGGGCGTAATAATCAATCCTCATTAGCACGTGTGAGTGATTGGTGCAGCTGCGGGGGAACACATCTCTTTTTCTTCTCTTCCAGAGTCCAGATTTGCTCTAGGTTCTATACTTAATATTGAGGCACTGGGAGATTAATCCATATAAATGCTTTCTACAAAGTCGTATTTCAGTTTTCTGATCAGTAATTATAAGAGGTCTGTAGAGCCATCTATCTAAGTTCGGGCACAGGCCTAGAGCTTATCCGAGTCCCAGGCAGAAAAGTTCCTAATCCCGATGTACAGTCAAGTAGTGATTTCTGTTGTCCTTTCAGTTCTAAAATTCCATGGTATGAGGTCACAAGTGAAGGTATATTGTATATATTTCCCCTAAAGCCCTGAAAAGATGTACACTGACAACCTTAGCATAGCTCCACAAATATACTGAGCACTTGGTCCATCTAGGCCATGTTTTGTGTTAGATTCCTGGATAAGAGAGACCAACGAGCCTACATTCTGGTGAGTTGTGTCCCTTCAAACTCTGTGCCCTTCTGTCAGAGACTCTCCCACTCAAATTAATTTGGTGATTCTTGATTTAAAGCAAATATAAAGGTGTGAACTTAACTACAGACTTCATGTACCTTAGGGGGAGGTGTGAGAAATGCACAAACCAGAAATGTTTCTCACACTCACCCAAAAGTGTCCTAGGATGTTGACCTCAAAAGTTTTGGTAATCTCTTCGTCCTTGGTACTAAGAAGGTCAGCTGGATATATTGTCCCAGCATTATTCACCAGGATGGTTACATCTCCCACTTCTTTCTTTACCTTTGAAATGGAAAAAAACACATTCACTGGATGTGTTATAGAAACTCAAAGTTTTGGGGGAAAAAAAAAGAAAAGAAACTCAAAGTTTCGGGGCTGATGTCATCCAGGGATTAGATTCTTTAATCCACTTGATGAGATCTCTCCGAGTTCAGGCAGGAAAAAGACTTGTCTATAAAGTGAAATTAATATTGGTGTCAATTAATTGATATAATCAGTCCTGACCAAATATGTTCTTAGTGCTGAGTAATCTTGCTTCTACCACCTACTAGCCATGTGACCATGGACTGGCTAAGCCCTCTCAACCTCCAGTTGCTTATCTGGCAAATGAGGTCGATAGGGTTATTGTAGAGATTCAAGGATGCAGTCGTTTATCAGAGTGCTTGGTTCACTGTATTTGATATCTACTCTTTTAAAAACTGTTATAATAACTATTAACAATTCATTTTCTGTAGAAGACTAGGAGCAACATAAATAAAATCCCCTTGGGAAAAAAATTACAGATAAAAAAAGAATTACTGCAAAAGTAATAGGACTAAATTGAAACTAGAAAGTGGTCCTTTCTCCTGGGACTAAATCTCTTCTCCGTCACTCCGTACCACTGCTCAAACTTCTGATCGGAAAGAAACTGACCGATAATATGAAACAGTAAGAATAGGCAGAGTTGAGTGGATTCTATGCAAGGAAAAAATAAATGCCCTTCCTTCTTCATACAACTTGCTCAGTTCTAATCTAAATCAGGCAGCCAAAAAGAACCGTTACATTTTCTATGTCAATGGATACAAGATTATCTGAAGAAATCTGTGTTCTGAAGTCTCACTTGCTTTACAGAGTTATAAACGTCTTCTCGGTCACCGCAGTCCACCACATACGCGTGCGCAGTGGCCCCCAGTCGCCTGCATTCGGCTGCCGTTTCCTCAACACCGCGCTATAATTGGAAAAGACAAATGCAGAAAGAGGTAGGTCAGTTAGGGAACAAGAGTGGGAGAGAAAGAAGTGGAGAAGAAGTTTCTTTAAAGATTAAAATCCATGTCCAAAATGCCCTCCTTGTTTGTTACGGAAGTTTCACGAGAGACGCTGCTTGCCTAATGGACCAAGAGATTTTACCTGGCTTTTCTGCCGGAGTGCTCCTACCGGTCACGTGTTTTCACCTTGTTTGGCTTCATTCTCAACAGCCATTCTGAGTCAAAGCGGAAACAAACAAACAAACAAAAGTCCTTCATGTTTCTCTAGCTTTTTATCTTGGGTTAGAGGGTTCTCCAGCAGGCCGTTTTTCTAAAGCAGGCTGCTCTCACAGCTAGAACATGCTCGAAAGATGTTACTCTTTGTGGGGTCATGGAGATGTTTGAGGACACAGAAGAGAAAACTCAGTTTTTCATTTAACATGTATTTGTTGAGCACCAACCATATCATAGGTAGTAAAGCAACTCTAAACGAGTGGTAATTTTAAACTCTATGCCTCTGCCTGTCATAGGTTTCTCCATGATTCTAATTTAACCCTCTAGGAGGGAAGGAGAAAGAGGGATCCTCATTTGAGGAAGACCTTCATAGGGAGACAAACTACCCTTGGGGATATAATCTTGTGTGCAAGTGTTCTGGAGTGAAAATGGGGAAGGGCCACTAGATAGAGTCTCATCTATGTAACAACTTCGCAAGTATAATAATAACTTTATAGGAACTTTGTAAAACTCCAGGACATGGCGATGGAGAAACTTATTTTCAGCCTAAATTCAAAGACCTTTTTTCCTAAGGTAAAATTGTCCTGATGTTTCTTGACCTGCATTTCTGGAAAATGAGAATTCTTTTCAAGTTTTGACCTCTGTTGATTTTTTTGACCTCTGTGGATTTATCTCAATCAAATACCACTTTTCTTCTCACAATTTATAGACTCTTCTCTATGATGAAGAGGCAAGGACAGCTGCAAGCCCTTTTCTCACACTGGGATGTTAGTTGTGTGGCTGTTGCTTGGGACAATCCCTGAATGAGTGGCAGGGGGGGCTCCCTTAGCCAGCACGCCGCCTCCCTTGGGTCCTCCATATCTCACTACCTCAGGCTAAGCCCCGGAGCAGAAGCCTGAAATCCCAAAGAATAGACGCGAACAGAAATTAGGACATGTAGGGCGCCTGGGTGGCTCAGTTGGTTAAGCAACTGCCTTCGGCTCAGATCATGATCCCGGAATCCTGGGATCGAGTCCCACATCGGACTCCCTGCTCGGCGGGGGGTCTGCTTCTCCCTCTGACCCTCCCGCCTCTCATGTGCTCGCTCTCTCACTCTCTCTCTCAAATAAATAAATAAAATCTTAAAAAAAAAAAAAAGAAAAGAAATTAGGACATGTAGTCACAGAGTCAGTGTCCCCTCATAGCCTTTTGGGGGTTGCAGAGGAGGGTGGAGGGAGGACAGGAGCTCTTTCACCAATTTAGGCTTCACCTGGTAGCTTGCTCATTGTCAGATTACAAGACCCACCATGCATTCTTTTGTCTCTCGATGCATGGTCAATAGAGAGCATTAGTAACCAGAGCTTTCATCAGAGGCTTTGAAGAATTAAAAATGTGTCAGTCTTATAAAGGAGCTACAGAACCGCAAAATGTAATGCCTTGTCTTTGTGTAAGCAAAATAGTTGCTTTAGCTTCAACTCCGGCTTGCACTGTTTACTCCACTTTTCAGAGTTTTCCTAAAGCAACAGTTTAGATTGAGGGCAAACCGCTAGCATGATTCATTAGGTAAGGCAAAAGAAGCCAGCCTTCGCAGAAAGGGAGTTGGCGCCTTCCACAGGGAAAGGAGATCTGAGCTACATTTGCAGCCTTAGAGTGAATCATTTAATACCTGTAATGTTTAACCATAAAATCCAAGGATTCAAAGAAATCCTGTGAGGTTAGGTGACTCATCCTTCAGGCAGAATCTTAAATAAGTCATTTTTATTCCTGGTCACTGGAACTTTAAAAAATGTAGTAAGTATAATCCTCTCCCCAGAAACACACATCTTTTTTACTAGATTTTATCAAGTCTTTTTCATGGATCGATACTTATTTCTATCTTTTGGATGAATGCTTGAGAACAGCAGACAACAGTTGTCTCAATTTGTAAATTCTTGTCCTCTTCTAAAAAGTGCATTGGAATCTCTTCAAGGACCAAGCCGATGCCAAATCACTTTCATGTATATCAACTCATCTATTAAATGCCTGTGTCTGTTACACGGAAATGTATCAACTTTTCCTTGTATAGTATTCTTTACTGACTGGAAAGAACCAGAGAAGAATTACTTTTCTAAGTCCAAGTGACATTTCTTTTTAAAGATTTTACTTTTAAGTAATCTCTACACTCAATGTGGGGCTCGGACTTATAACCCCAAGATCAAGAGTCAACATGCTCCACCAACTGAGCCAGCCAGGCGCCCCCGAATGACATTTTTGAAGGCTTTAAGAAATAGGGGCCAACTGGACGTGATAGCAAAGAACATCACAGAGTAGTAATATAATGGCAATTAAGATCTCACTGTGATTTGTGGAAAACCTGATTCTTAAAACTTTACAATTTTTCCAGTCTTAAAATCCTGTAACATTTTTCTGTGTATATTTTCATGGCCTTACCAGAATTCACGTTTAGGGGAAATGATACAAAATTTCAGTTATTTCAGTTTTGAGTACTAATACAGTGTTAACAAATAACAGTACAAGAAAAATATGAGTGCTCAAGAGAAAGCCTGACCCACTGCTTGTGGGTTTTATTTAACACGACTGTTTACTATGGCCAGGCATTGTTCTAGGCACTTAAAATAGTCACTTGTTCAATCCTCTTGCCCAGGAGTCCACAAACTATTCTGTACATTGCCAGAGTAAATATTTTAGGATTGTGTGGGTGTGAGGGGAGGCGCTAAGAAGTTCTATCGTATGTTCTTCTTTGTTTCTTTATTTGGTTTTTGCTTTGACATGCTTTTAATAATATAAAAAACATTCCTCGCTCAACACCCTGCCCGAGGACCCGATTTGGCCCCTTTGCTGTAGTTTGCTGACCCCTGTTCTTGCCCATTCTGTGAGATACTATTTCCATTTCAAAGATAAGGAAACAGTGGGTGCCTGGGTGGCTCAGTCGGTTAAGCATCTGCCTTCAGCTCAGGTCACGGACCCAGGGTCCTGGGATCGAGTCCCGCACTGGGCTCCTTGCTCAGTGCAGAGCCTGCTTCTCCCTCTCCCCACCCTTCCCCTCCCCCACTTAGTGCTCTCTCTTGCTCTCTCTCTCTAATAAATAAGTAAAATATTTTTTCAAAAAGATAAGGAAACGGGAAGCTTGGAAGTAGCCTGGCTCCGAGTCTGTGTTCTCAACCTGTATATGATGGCATAAAAAAAAAAAAAAATCACTGCTTAGTTCTGTTATGTTCCCTTTGTCAAACCATCCCAATGCATATGTAGAATACAGCACTGGAGAATGTATTAAACGTTGAAAAAGAAAAATACAAAGGTAAGCAGTTGCTAAGTCAAATAATTTTTACAACATATGTCTTACTTGTGACTTTAAAAGATGGGCAAATGGGCGCCTGGGTGGCTCAGTTGGTTAAGCGACTGCCTTCGGCTCAGGTCATGATCCCGGAGTCCCGGGATCGAGCCCCACATCGGGCTCCCTGCTCGGCAGGGAGTCTGCTCCTCCCTCTGACCCTCTTCCCTCTCGTGCTCTCTATCTCTCATTCTCTCTCTCTCAAATAAATAAATAAAATCTTTAAAAAAAATAAAATAAAAGATGGGCAAGTGTATGCATTACCTTATTAATATCCCACAGAACCAGTCGGCTCTTCCGTTTTGCAAATTCATAGGCAGTCCACCTGCCTATTCCATGCCCGGCTCCTGTAATGAGAACAACCTCCCCAGCCACAGATTTTCTCCTTCGGGGAAAGAAAACCTTCACCAGTGCCTCCAAGTAGGAGTAGATGATGGTGAGCAGAAGCAGGAGGAGACCCAAGATGATATTCATGGCTCTGCTCTGTACTCTTCTCCTCTGGCTCAGGCCTTGTCTAATGGCAGCCACCCTCTGTGCAGAGATCCTGGAAAGAGCTGCGCTCCAAGTGTGGACGGGACTGGCAGAAGCCAGATTTGCCGCAGGCTTTGTCCACGTGTTCTAGTAGGTTGGAAACACCTGAGTTTGGAAGTGATGCAATTGCTACCCCAAGCTTGGCACAGGGACAATGGAATCCTGGAGAAAGTGCTCTGTGGGCTTCCTTACTGAGAAGCAGTTCTGTGCTGTGTTGCACAGTGAAGTTTCACCTCTAGAAATAATTCTAGAGAGAGTACATCAGCTTTTGGTAGTCTCTTGGTATCTCCCTCTAAACCATTGTGTGTGTGTGTGTGTGTTTAACTGAAGGAAAAGGAGAAAGAGATATTTTCTTCAGGAGATTTAAAGTATGGACCAACCAACCTTAGTGTGATTCATTTATTCATGAAAGCTCAGCATCAATATTTCAGTGAACTAATTATTTTACAGGAGATGCCCATTTCCCTCAAAACCTCTTAAGTTTGGAACAGACTGGAGGTTATATAAAGCAATCAATTCCCTCTGTGATGCTATGGGAATGAGCATTAGATCAGGAGCCAAGTCTCCACTTAAAAGTGGTGCGATTTCCACTTGATCTTAGCCAAAGGGCCAAGAAGCAATAAAAGTAGTGCGACTTCCAACACCTCCAAAGTAGAAACAACTCAAGTGTCCCATGAACAGATGAATGGATACACAAATGTAATATATACCTACAAGGCCATATTATTCCTTTTTTTCAATGACTGCAATTCTGATAAATGCTACAACACGCATGAACCATACAAACATTATGCTAGGTAAAATTAGGGCCACAAAAGGACAAAATTGCATGACTCCACTTAAATGGCCTAACTTAGTCAAATAGACAGGGACAGAGAGTAGAACCCTGGTTATCAGGAAATACCACTCTTTCTTTGGACACCATGAAATGATAAAGTTATAGGATTTATGTACATTACTATAACCCACTGTTTGTTTAATCTAGCTATAGTAATCTGCCAAGTACAAGTTGAGGAATATAATCTCTTCAAATAAATACTTTTCCCCTCCTTTCTGGAGAGTTCATTAGAACATTGTCAAAGGTTCTGTGTACTGCCAAACTGATAAAGCAGTATTAGGTAGTCTTAAATATCTTGTAAACTTCTTGAGGCTCCTAAACGTAGTTTCTTTTTTTTTTTTTAAACATTTTATTTATTTACGAGAGAGAGAGAGAGAGCACAAGCAGGGGGGAGGGGCAGAGGGACAGAGAAAAGCAAGCTCCCCACTGAGCAGGGAGCCCGACAGTGGGGCTCAATCCCAGGACCCTGGGATCATGACCTGAGCCGAAGGTAGATGCTTAACGACTGAGCCACCCAGGCTCCCCTCATTCAGGTATTAAGTCCTGCAACATGACAAATGCCACAGGCCTTCATGCTACAACACGCATGAACCATACAAACATTGTGCTAGGTGAAATTAGGGCCACAAAAGGACAAACATTGCATGACTCTGATTAAATGACCTAAATTAGTCAAATACACAGGGACAGAGGGTGGAACCCTGGTTATCAGGAAATACCACTCTTTCTTTGGAGACCATGAAATGATAAAGTTATAGGATTGATGTACATTACTATAACCCACTGTTTATTTAATCTTTGCTCTAGGGGCAATGTAGACAATAAGGAAGATAAATAAGCAAAATATATAGTATGCTTCACAATAGTAAGGATTAGGAGAAAAATAGAGGACAGAGGGAGAAGTGGAATCTTATAGGCCATGGCCGTGTAGGCAGGGTTGCAATTTTAGATATGGAGTGAGAAGTTCTGAAAAGACCTAAGGAAAAAGACTTAAAGGGAAGATAGAGGTAGCCATGTGGCTGTCTGTAGAAGAGCATTCTGGAGAGCAAACAGTAAGGTACAAAAGTCTTCAGACAGGAACATGTTTGGTGGGTTGAGGATCATCAAGGGGACTGGTATGGCTGGAGTGAATTGAAAAGAGTGTGAGGGTAGTGTGAGAGTTTGACAGGTCAACGTGGCTAAGTTATAGTTTTCAACTTTTCAAACACTAATCTAGGTATTGCTGTGAAGGTATTTTGTAGTTAACATCTATAGTGAATAGTCTTTAAATAAGACAAAATTAGGGCTGCCTGGGTGGCTCAGTCGTTAAGCATCTGCCTTTGGCTCAGGTTATGATCCCAGGTCCCGGGATCGAGCCCCGCATCGGGCTCCCTGCTCCGCGGGAAGCCTGCTTCTCCTTCTCCCACTCTCCCTGCTTGTGTTCCCTCTCTGGCTGTGTCTCTCTCTGTCAAATAAAGAAATAAAATCTTAAAAAGAAAATAAGACAAAATTATTCTTAATGCTATGGATGGGCCTTATCCAATCAGTCAGAAGGCCTTGAAAACAAAACTGAGCTTTTTCTGTGCTATAGACTGAATGTTTGTGTCCCCCCTCCACAAAGTTCCTATGTTGAAACCTAATCCTCAAAGTAATGGTATGTGGCGGTGGGGCCTCTGGGAGATGATGAGTTCATGAGGATGGAGCCCTCATGAATGGGATTACTATTCTTGTACAAGAGATACAGAGAGCTCCCTTGCCCCCTCTGCCATGTGAAGACACAGCAAGAAGACAGGCTGGTTGGCCGTGAACCAGAAGGCAGGCTTTCACCAGACGCTAAATCCTGGTGGCTTCATTTTGGAGTTCCCAGCCTCTAGAACTGGGAGGAAAATTTTCGGTTGCTTATAATCCACCGGCCTTTGGTATTGTGCTATAACAGCCTGAACTAAGACACCCTGAGTCAGAAGAAATTCTGCCTCAAGACTGTAGCATCAACCTCTGCCCAAGAGTTTCCAGCCTGCCAGCCTCCCCTACAGATTTCAGAGTTGCTAGCCTCCCACAATAATGTGAGCCAATTCCTCAATTCCTTGAACTCTATCTCTCCTTGTTTGTATGTATGTATGTATATAAAATCTACTGGTTCTATTTCTCCGGAGAACTCTGACTAATATAGGTAATAAGGTAGGGGTAAGAAGACTGGATTACATATGGTCTTCTAGGTCATGGTAAGGACTTCAGTTTTAAGTTTTAGGTGAGAAGCTAATGGGGGATTTTGAGCTAAAGCATGACACGATCTCATATTTTAAAGACTCGTTCTGGGGTGTGCTTAGGTGGCTCAGTCAGTTAAGTGTCTGACTCCTGATCTCAGCTCAGGTCTTGATCTCAAGGTCCTGAGTTCAAGCCCCACATTGGGCTCCATGCTGGGCATAGAACCTACTTAAAAAAAAAAAATAGAGACTCATTCTGGCTGCTATGCTGAGGGAAACAAGACGTGATGGTGGCAGGGTGGCATCAGGCTGGTGGTGGGGGGGTGATAAGAGGTGACAGAATTCTGGATATATTCTCAAGGTAGAGCAAACAGAATTGCTTTTGTAATGAATATGGGAGGA